CCTTACAAGCATGTCACTCTTTTGTTAGTGAGATGAATGGCACTGCATGGAGTCCACCATACAGGTGTATGCTGGACCCACTTAGGTTCACTCTAATAGAGTCATTTAAATGTTCATCAGTCAGTATTGTTCTGTATTTAGATTTCATGACATTCATGTCAGAAAAAGCTGCTTCACAAAGGTATGTAGAACAGAACCAAATAAAGCAGACATTTTCAGTGCTGCTTGGTGAATGTTCTATAGTTTTCTGGGTCTACAAGGCTCCAGAAATGTTGTGAGTTTTGCTGAGACTTAAGCTGAACATTATTTTGGAGATCTCCACAGGATTGACACTGAACAGTTGTTCAGCCATCTTTTTCTTCTTCTTCTTCGTCTTGACATTAAATTATAAACCATAATAAATCAATTGTATAGGTCTAGCCTCCCTATATCTGTGTGTGAAAATGGTTCCATCCTCAAAAACAAAAAACGAATACTTCTGCAGTCTAGCTGCAGCTTCTAGCAACGGTCTTCTGTCAAAAAACACTTACATTCTCTGTCTTACTGTTACATAAATCCCATGAATGTATGAGATTAAGTTAGCTTCATCATATCTCAATCAGTGATTAAGTGAATAATAAAGTTTCTATCGGGTCACTATCAGCCTGTCACTCATTATTTTCAGAGAGGGGGCGGGGTTTGGAGGAACAGAGGAGACGGTGATCGCGGAAGCTTTCCTCCTGCCTTCACAAACTTTACACAAGTATTTATCAACTGAAAATAGCAAGAGGACATTCATACTCTGCAATCCAAGACTTGATTACATCCACCAAAAACTTGACATGACGATAACGAGTGTTTTTCAAAAAACACAAATCCCTCCCTGTGTGTCTCTGAGCCGCAGCGACAGGGCCTGATTCAGAGCGGGTCATTCTGCTGTTGGTTCTGGACTGGTGCTGGTGGAGAAAGCAGACTGCTCCGTGTGTGTTGTCGCTGTGGTGCTGTCACGTCTGTTCCTTGATCTCTGCGTCACCGACCATTTGATATTCGTGTGACAGAAAAAATTCTAAAATAAAAAAACTTTATTGTCCACCCGCGGCCGAAAAATTAATAAGCAACCATACGCTATCATCGATAATCGAGCGGCGAGCTACTGAAAAGCTGCCCGCGAGCTACCGGTAGCTCGCGATCGACGTGTTGGAGAGCCCTGGTTTAAATCAACAGCTTGTTACCATTTGCAAAATAATTCAGGTCCAGCTTAAAGGTCACCTATTATGCAAAATCCACTTTTTCCTGTCTTTTATACATAAACATGTGTTGATCAGATTTTGGCCACTTTATGATGTCATAACGATTTTTTGGCTTGTGTAACCATTAGCCAATAACCAACCAAGGTAACCCCCCCACCACCTTATCACCTGAATCTCCTCCTAGAGCACCATTGTCTTCTTTTTAACCAAATATCTTGCAGAGGGGCGTGGGGAGTTGCACCTTATTTTCATAGAGTAACAGACAGAGAATCAGCACTTTTGAAACAGGGCTGAAACAGAGGGGATTATGGGATGCTACAATGCATGATCTGTTTGGTATTTCGACCCAAACCCTTGAGAAACATGTTCTGTATATATCTGAGACCTATAATATATTGATGAAAAGGAGTACAATAGGGGACCTTTAAGACACTTTTAAAGAGGCCACACAAGCATTTCTTTGCACAACACATTGCCATTTCTTATTTTTTAGAGTGACCTTCATTGTCAACATCCTCTCAGACCTGTTGGTGGCAGCGAGAGGAGATGCACGATTATTAGCCTGGCATCAGAGGAGTCATCGGTACGGGCTGACAGCTTGTAGAGCTCTCACGCTATCTGATACCTGCACCGTCCCAGCCCTCCTTTGTGCTCCTGTTCGTAATTACAGTGGTTAATCTTCTGGTTCCCCCCTGTCTCCTGCCCACTCCCTGCCTTCCTTATTAGTCCTCCCTTGCCCACCTGAGATTTTTGTCTTCTTCCTCTCCAATTTTTTTCTCTCGTGGTAGCAGAGGAGTCCAATCAGACTTGCCATTGTTTATTGTGATAAGTTGGGATAATGAACAAATGACCTGCCACCTGGAGCACTTAGAGCCTGGTGTTAAACTCGGGTTATAAAAACCTCTTCCAGCTCTATTGATTTACTGGCAACATTTGATTGTACCCACGGGGCAGGGGGCCTGCAAGACTGCACAGAGCTCTTACTGTTTTACAGTCCTTATTACACCAAACAAATAAATCTCCTGACCATTAATTCACTGCCTGTGCCCTCACTCCCCAGACTGATAGGCCAAAAATCACAACAGATTCAGGCAGCGCGGCAGACTCAGCCAGATAACTAGGTAGTTAGGGGCAATGCATCTTTTCTATATGCCTCATTCCATATTGGATTAGCAGACCGCAGACAACTTTAACTGTTCTTGGAAGATTTTATGATCTCCCAGGACAAATACATGAGGAAATGATTTGAGTTGGGCTATCCTGTTCTTGCAAACAACGGTCATTATTTCAATATCCTCTGGGACTCTTTTACGATTCCCCCGGCCGTGCTTTTTGGCTGCATTTCCCTTATGTGCAGAACAGGGACATGGTACCTCATGGTTAACAAAAGTCAACCGCAGGGAGAGTCAGAACATTTTAACAACGGAAGGCAATTGTAAACACTCAGGGGGCCTGACAAATGGTACTGGGAAGAGCGTTGCACTGGTCCCAGACCAGAGGCCATGTCAGCATTACATTCAGACCGGATGGTAAATTGTTAAACATTAATAAAGGCCTGTCCAATGAAGTCTGCTCAACAAATTAATGATGCTAACCTTAGTGTTATTGGAATAAGCGGGTTGATGAGGATCTTGCTTCCTCTGATCTGAAAAAAAGCTGTAGACTGTAATGCTGCTGTGAAATGGGTGTTGTTAATTATTTATGTGAATAGACACGTTTGTGCACCTTCAAACTCTTTAACCCTCCTCCCCTTTTCACACACACACACACACACACACACACACACACACACACACACACACACACACACACACACACACACACACACACACACACACACACACACACACCACACACACACACACACACACACACACACCACACACACACACACACACACACCACACACACACACACACACACACACACACACACACACACACCACACACACACACCACACACCCCATCAGAGCCCCTCTAGATCTCAACATACATACTGTGCCAGAATGATGAATACACTGCAACATTAGAAGATGAAAGATCCCCTGATTGCTTCTTGCCAACATGTTTACCATAGTTTGAATCACTACCATACCCACTGATTGTAGACTTATGTAATGTAGGTTAAAATACACTTTCCATCCTGCCCACTAGTTTCCCTGTGGAAACTGACGCATAATTGTCTGCATATGTGAACATTCTGTAGCTTCACTCACATAAAGTACACACAAACACACACAAGCATACACTCAAGCTGAGAATCCTCAGAGTGATGTCACCTTCAAACGACAGAAGAAAAAGCAGGCAAAACCATGCTAACCTCAATGACTGGCTTAGATTAAACAGCTTGGTTAGGACACACAAACACACTTGAATAAACATATTCACAAATACACATGCATGCATTTACCCCGACGCATACGCACCGAGCATTTCTCGGAAACAGCCCCATTCGTTTCTGATGTCTTCATCATCCATCTGCTTATCATGCAGGACCCACCGGTCACCGCATGTTGGTGGCTTTGAACACTTAAGCTCTGTCAGTTATACATAGGCTTCGGTACCTGGAAGGTATACGAGATGTTGGATTACAGATGCCTCTGACTTCCACTGAAGGATAAATCCTTTTTCCCTTGTGGCCAAACATGACATGTAAATATTCATATGTGAATGGGGTTATGATCAGTCAGCCTTCAATGCAAACATTTAAAAACAGCATAATCCATCACAACCTTTCAGGAACTCAAAACCAGATCAAAAGTAGGTCTCCTCCTACACTACACACCACCTGGGATTGCTGCCATTATGATGTGCTTAGCCAGGGCACTCTAGTCGCTGGATAAAAGACAAGACCACCAGACAGCTAACCAGCTAATCTGCCGAATATTCTGTTAATCTGACAGGTCGTGTTGAATAATGAATATGTACATTATCACAGAGGGAGGAATCACAGGGGACACAGGGGATCACTTTCCATGTGCTAGGTGGACATGGCAGGTCTGTTATCAGCGTGATTTCTAATGAGTTAATTCACAGGTGAGTGTTCAGCTAGCTGGCCATCAAGCCTATCTTGATTAAGAGCATACAGTGATTTGGTATTAACATTTGATAATAATTAAAAAAAACAGTAATATGGCAAGTACAAGGCGGGTATATTCAAATTTCAAAAAAGAGTCACCTCTAATCGATGGCGTACGTGCATATGTTGGAGACATTATTATATCTCGGAATCTGCCAACAGTCTAATCACCAATCTAGAACAATATGACCCATGAATGATAAATGAAAGCATGCATGCTGCCATGACAAAAGACCTCGTCTTGTCAGCTGTAACAGCAGCAAATTACTTTCCACTCTGAGGTGGTTGTCTCAGTGATTTACTCCAGCTCTTTCTAGGGCAGTGATTTACATTTACAACAGATTGTATTGTTTATTTATTTATTATTGGGGATCTTGTTGCCAGTTTGAAAACATCCCGACATATGAGGTGTCCTCTTAACGTGCCAGTCTCTACTGACAGCCTTTTGGAAAGTTAACGCCCATCAACACCAGACAACGAGGTGTTGACATTCGGGAACTACTTTCATACATTTATTTTTTTCCTGGTGGCCCTTCCCCCCTTATTGGCCCCCATTTTCTTCTGGGATTGGGGCACGGCTTTACCTTTCAACCACAACACGCTACCTGTCACAGAGCACACACGCACACACACCCACCCCTGAGCGCGGTGCGAGAGGCATGTGACATCTGTTCTCTCTCCGGTGGGCTTCTCATGTCCTCGACCTCATCCACATCGTTTCTGAGCACCTGGAAGGGAGGAGGGGAGGCTGTATGACAGGGGACATACTAAAGAAAAAGGGGATGAAAGGGCCTTGTGTGTGTGTGTGTGTGTGTGTGTGTGTGTGTGTGTGTGTGTGTGTGTGTATGTATGTGTGTGTGTGTGTGTGTGTGTGTGTGTGTGTGTGTGTGTGTGTGTGTGTGTGTGTGTGTGTGTGTGTGTGTGTGTGTGTGTGTGTGTGTGTGTGTGTGGTGTGTGTGTGTGTTTGTTTGTGAGGGGGAGGTTGGTGGTGTTTTAGAGAGAATGCAGTCAACCACAACATCAGTCAGGACTGCCACCTCTCTTCCTCCATCACTAACTTTTCCCTCATGACCTTGACCCGAGTTCGGTGCTTTTTGACAGCATAGGTCCTTGTTGACACCAGCTATGCCGCCACACTGTGCCAGATGCACAAATGTATGCTACAGTGAGGTTGAAAAAGCAAAGGGTGGAGTGACATCATGTTTTTTACCTAACACGTACATTGAACGAAAGTGGTGCAGCTCAGTGACCTCAGTGCTTCAGATGGACTAATACGCAGTAAAACGGATATCTTTGCAGACTTTTAGTCGTTGTGGTTTGAGAAGGTAGGGCATTAAAATCTAGAAACATCAGAGCAGAGAAAGTAAATGCACACTCCCAAATAGCTACTATGACAGTGCCCTTGAGCAACAGCAGTGCTTGAGTCATACTGCAAAGCAGCAAGCAGTAACTATTACGGTTCACCGCTGAAGCCAATGTAGAATTGCCTTAAGCTGTAGTTGCAGTAATGGCTGGTAGGTTCTGGCTCCACGAAGACTTTGCTATTTAGTCTACCCTGAAGATCACAAGCAAACACCCTGCAAAAAGAAAGTCTCAAAGTTCAATCCTCCCTTACATAAAATAGCTTTCCCGTACAAATAAGCTGTATTCTCAATAACTGAGGGAATCTTGTCTCTGAAAATGGTTTAGGTTTTAAATAAAAACAGAAATGCAAAAAGCTAATTGGTTAGGTATATGGCTTTTATAAGTGTATTGTCTTGCTATTGAAGTTACAAAACATTTATGAAGTGACCATTGACTTTTGGTTTCAAATAGGAAACAAACTCGCTCCCCTGGGTCAAAGTCCAATGCTAAACACTTCCCTCCACCCCTCAACATCTTCCATAGGGGGATTTCAGCAAACTTTGAGTGAAAAAAAAAAATTCATCATATGGAAAAAAATATGGAATACAGGAGGTAACAAGTTCCTATTGAAACATAATTGTTTTGGTGTATGGGAACGTTTAGGAAAACAGGCTTCAAAGTTTGGTTCTCAAAGACCATTTTCCCCTCTTCAAATGTTTGTTTGGGGCAGATATTAAAGTATTATTTAACCTAGATGAGAACTAAGATATGATTGTTGCCGTTTTTCTCTCACACTTAACACTTTTATGGCCACCTTATGCATGCAAGACCTATATTTAGTCTCCTTTAAGCTCAGTTTTTTGTTTCCACCCTTCCGAAAGAAAAGTCCCTGATTATTTTGCTTCTTAATGTTCATGAGCTATTTACTGATTGTGTCCTGTTGTGTGCTGGGCAGGAAGGGCACCAAAACAAAGAACTGTAAATCTCTGTAAAGCTGAGGGGAACTGCAGAGTTTGTCACAAACTCAGAGAGAATAAACACTGTCAGCAATCCTTTTACATCAAACATCATAATTTGATCCATTGCTATAATAAACCAACGTAGGTTATGTTTTATTCTTGCATAAACGTGTATGCTCCTGTTTTCCATACCCATGTGTCATATGTCCACGGTGTGAGTGTAGTTGCCTGAAGCAGAGCCTGGGTCTGTTTAACACATTGACTCACCAGGGTCATGGGTTCGTTGGCTCAGGCTCAGCTCCCTAACAGCCTTTTCAAATCATTATGTAATGAAGTGGGTGCCATTCAAATATAAATGCATCCACTAGCCAGAACCCTTTCATGTTTCAAACTATAAATACTGTTGGATTTTCCTCAGAGCCAATATACCTATCAAAGCCATTTCCAACATCTGTTATCCCCCCCTACAAAAAGTGCAGGACACCGGGCCAATTGCTGTAACCATAAACCAAAGTGTTTTATAATGCATGGGATACAAGCCTGTAATGCGTACTTTTTCTTAATTTGTTAATTGATTATTGGCTAATCTGTCAAAAAATCCTGGCTCTGAGCCCTTGTGAGTGGGCACAAAAAACACACAACGTGCACTCAGAGACACACAACAACTGTGAGATAAGCAAACCCACAAATGCAAGTCTCTTGATAGTTGCTGATTGTTGTGAGTGCAGCCACCACTGACCTTGGCACACATATCCATAACAAGCCCCTTCCCTCTCCATCCATCCCTCTCTCTCTCTCTCTCTGTGGAGTGGCCCCTGGCCTGCAGCTTATTGGGGGGCCTGGAGCCAGCTACCCATCTCAGACAGGCCCTAATCTGGGAGGCAAATGATAAGGCTGAGGTTTACAGGAGGGGCTTTGCACACTCACCACAATTTGCATTTAAAGGCCCTCAAGTAATCTTTGGGCTTATTTAAATCTCAGCAAGACACTAGCAGAGAGATGGAGCAGGGAATTCTGCCGATCCACCTCCAGTGCTTCTTTCCCATGGTAGACCAAATCCCCGCTATAAATGAGCGAGGATGTGGATTGCTTTGCCGATTCTCACAGCTCTGTATTATCAATGGCATTTAATTGACGGAGTATTATTTTTCTTCTCTCCGCATCTAAATAAAACCGCCACACAAAAGCTTCAACATTCATTGTAAAGCTGTGCGTGGAAAAGGGCCATTTTTGCCAGTAAAAAAACTGAGCTATTGACATACATTGCTCTGTGGAAGAATAGAGTTTATAGTTTATGTTATAATGTTTTCTAACATGAGTAGGTTTGTCTATGTGTTGTATATGCACTCTTTGTTCATAAAGTGAAAAGAGTGAAACAAATGTGCATGGGTTTTAAGCTCCATTGGATTGCTGCTGTATGACCACCTAAGCAAGACATTATCTTCAAGCAGTTTCATTGTTTTTATGTATTACTTTAAAGCCTCCCTCAGACTTAGCATTGCTCATATGTGTGTCGCTCTTTATCTTCTAACGTCAGTCAGAATGAGTCATTTGATAAAAAAAACTTTACACCGCTAGATAATATTCTGTCCCAGTTTTTTCTTAAGGTTGTGCATATTTACCAGCTGCTGCAGCTATAGGAGTAACTGTATTGCTGTCAGCATATTCACTAGTTTACTGGCATCAAGCCCTGCAGTATGTATACTATAACAGCACAATGCTTCTGCTCAGCCAATTCGCGTCAGCGTCAGGGGGGTTATTTTCAGTGTGCATCCTACACATCCAGAAGGGATTTGAAAGATTAATCCTCACCTTTCCAACTGAATGTATGTAATTTGGTTTGACAAACACCAGCCCTACAGGGACGTTTTCTTCATTAATACTTGACAATGTGCCTTGCGTCTCAGGCCTGAGGAAATGTAGTGGTGTGACGGACGAGAGCATTAAAGTGACCCAGATTCAATCTTTCTTTCTTTACTTTGCAAGCTTTTAACTCTGAGTATGGCACCTGTGATACAAAATTCAGCTGGGAAAGCAACAAAGGCGGGGTGTTAACAGCCATTACAACAGGCCGCACAGACAAGACACGATCTGATGATCCTTTCAGACTGTAATAGGCACTGAAATATTCAACAGGGCTGAGAGGTGTCCAAATGTAGTTTCTCAAGTCCTTAGAAAAATCTGTGCGAGAACCTTATGCACAATATTAGATAACAGCCTGAAAGGGTTTTCTCGTTTAAGTTTATTCAACACTGTTTTAGGGTTTTGATCTACAATCAGTGATGTTATTTCTTCATTGAAGACCATTTTGAAAAGATTCTACTCTCGAAGAAATAGTAATTGTATGCCTATTTATTTTCTTGCTAGGAGTTAATGAACCCAGCCCTGAAACATACTGTATGGGGATGTTACTACATGTAAAGTGCATCTGGACAACTTTCCAACATACATTTTGGAAACTGAATAAGAGACATATGTGGTAATAAGTGAGCCTTTGTGATACTGGTAGGTAGATTTGTTTGTAGATCTGCTAACCTTAGCTAACTGGCTGCTAGCTTTACCTGAAACAGTGAGAGTGCCATCAATCTTCTTATCTAACTCTCATCAAAAGAGAATATATCAAAACATGTAAAATATTGTATTAACTATTGCTTTATCAGGACAGCTCACCTAAACATAAAATAAAATAAATGTTAGTCCCATTTATCAATGCAGATAGTTTGGCTTGTACTATGTTCTCCCTATCAAAGTACACCATCCAACAGTATCACCATGCAGAAGGAAGCCTTCATCTAGTCATGAATGGGAAGCTTGTGCTAACTCGTGGGCGGGGGTAGTTTGTTGAAGATAGAGTTTCTTTGTAAAACTGTTCACAAAAAATCTGTCATGATTTCTGGAAAGAGATATTACTGTTAAGTTTTTTTTGGCGCTTTGAGCACCCAAGCCACCATGTAATTCCATTAAACTAGAGAAAAGGCAGACATCTTTATGGCAGATATCTCCAACACTCTCTAACTCACACCAATTCAATCTAGACTGATAAATACAGTTTGCCATTTCCAGCTAATGAAACCTAATTATGTGAAGCAACTTCTTGTAACTTTAAGGTATAGTTCCTCTGCCACAGGACAAAATAAACTTGACAAAATGGAAATCAAAGCTGTTATAACACACACAGGAAACATTTCCCACCAACTACAAGACAGTTAGACAATATTAAATCACGAGGTAAGGCTTAACCTGATATCATATTTAATATTCTGACTGATTTTCTCTTTTGTGTAACCCTTTTCAAAGCCTGAAGACAGGTCAAATCAAGCTCATGCATATAAAAGCCATTGCCCTGGGCAAAGATTTAACCAGCACGGATGAGTCTCAAGGCTCAGTGTAGCGAACGAAAAACGCCCTTACTGCCATTCCAGCTCTGAGAAATATGAGGAGACGCCAGAGAAGAGATCTGGACAGAAGCTCCCCCCCCCCCCCCCCCCCCCCCCCCCCCCCCCCCCTCACTTCTATCTGCGAAACTAGCCGTTAGCCTGGCTTCCCAGTCACACTATGGAGACCCTGCTCACTCTTCCATACCACAGCTACTTCCTGCTGGCTCTAAACAATGCAGACTCCATTTGGGCCGCCGTAATGGCTGACTGCTTGACATAACCCTTGTCAGTGAGAGCTGAGATAGGTGACACTTGACAGATGTGTAATTGCTGGAAGAGCTCCCTGACAGGTGGATGAGCTTAAAGACACCTGATATGCTTCTGAGGCTGTTGACGCATGGGGATTACACCTTTAAGCAGCACCGGCTTCCATGGGTGTTGTTGCTTTTTTTCTGTGTACTTCAAGCAGGGGTGGGGGGGAAACGGTTTGGGTAATCTATTCAAAGTGAAATTGGTTTGATTTGTTTGAGCGAAGATATGAGCCAAGCCTGACAGCGAGAAAGGTTAAGTCTCCTGCAATAACCCTCATTTATTACATCCAGATGCATATACTCTGCGAGGTAATGTATGGTTTTGAAATCATCCGAGAGGCCTTGTAAATTCTGCGTTGAGTTGAGATAGCTTTCCCTTTAAGGTCAGTCCAGGTGAGGTGGTACCAGAAGCCTGAGATAACACTCCACCCTTATAAAAGACAGGAAGTGAGATTAACATTCGCTCCTTGATTAGCAGTGAGGGTGTGGGCTGCCATGTGGGAGGTGGTGCAGCCATAGGGGTGGAACAGTAGGATGTGGATGGGGGCGTGCATGTGCGTTTGGAGGGTTGTGTTTTATGTGTGGGACTGTAATGCAAATCAATGATCTCCTTCAGTGCAGAGCAGAACAGCACAATGCCAGCACACCTGTCCATCACTCAACATCTCCTGTTCCACCTCTTGAAGCTGGGTGAAAAAAAAAATCGTTTTAGCTCACAGTCAAAGGGTTGAAAGCAGGGGAGGGGAGCGACGGAGGTGCGTTTAGAGGCCCAGACATTCACTTTTCTTTTTCCTTCGCCGACAAGACCATGTTATTAGAACTGCAGTTACTAAATTGGGAGGAGGGAGACCGATGCTTTTGGACGTGACCTCAATTGCACTGGCACACTATCTCAACCAAAGTCTCATTTCACAGAAAAAGACACGGGAAGAGAAAAGAGAAATTGACAATATCTTTTGTAGTATCATGCATAGACAGCGTATCGAGATTTAGTGATGATATGGGGGGGGGGGCGGTGGCTCTAGCAGCACCCCAGAAGCTCTGCTCAGTTCATTGGGGGTATTTTCACTTATAATTGGGGTAGCTTTCATCTTGCCTGCCAAAAGGCGCAGCAGTGAAGAAGAGCACCAAGAGGGAGCTATCGCTTCCCCTATTTCCTGGCCCCAGACAAAGGCATCCAGGCAGGCAGCCTGCTGAAGATGATGTATTTCTGATCAAAGAGCCTGGAGTTGTCAGCAGCTCGGGCTAGCACAGCAACCTGATTGCTCCTGGATAGATTTGTCCCTTTGATCAGAGCAGACTCTGACTGCAGGCACTGTTTATGCAAAGAAAAGATGGCAGAGCGAAAACCTATCCAGTGTTATGTGGAAACAGGCGTTGGGCTGGGGGAAGGACTTTAGCTTTGGGGTGTTTTGGTTCACACAATAATACAGGATGATATCTGTTGTAATTACCGCTAATGAGATAACATTGCAAGAAGCCTTTTCTGCAACTTGTTGCTGTGTTGCTTTAGCGCTGACAGCTAAAATTATTACTGGTATATTAATCTTGATTAGCTGATAAAATACTGTGTCTAATTACAACCACATCAGATAGATGGAGTTAGATAATGTAATGTGCCTGAACAAGTGATATTTTTACAAAATGATCAGTTAGTTACACTATGCAAACATCTTACACATAATGCAAATAACCGCCGGCTATGAATTCATGTGGACTCGAGAAGGAACATCATTTTGTCATGATATATTGATGTAGATTTTCATTGGGAGAGTTAAGATTAGTTCAGTAAATGGGCTACAAAGGAATATTAATGTCACCAGTCAGTGGGATTGTACCTACAAATCCCACAGTGACCTCGGCCATGTTTCGTCTGAAGAGAGCAGTCTTCTCGTACCCGGTTACATGAATTCAAACACCAAAATGTCAAACACACTTGACTCTGAAACACACGGGTAGGGGTTTTGGTGGGGTGTGAGACGCAACATGAAACATCCGGAGACTAGAGGAAGCACTGGAAGCAAAAAAAAAAATCCTGAAGGCTGCAAGACTTAATATGTCCAAAGGGGTCTTCCAAGCACACTGCATACTGGAAGAATAGTTCATGCTGAAAACAAGCATTGTCTCCATGTCAAAGAAGCTCCAATAGAATTATCTTAATAGCTGAATTCATTGACAGCAGAATT